CCCTCCCCCAACCACCCAGCCCCTTCTCTACGTGATATCATGCATGTCTCTTCCCCAACCACCCAGCCCCCTCTCTACGTGATATCATTCATGTCTCTCCCCCAACCAACCAGCCCCTTCTCTACGTGAAATCATGCACCCACCCAGCCCGTACGAACCTGGACCTTGATGCTTCACCGTGCCGACGTAGCCAGTCTCCTCCCTGAGCTCCCTCACCGCAGCTTCCTCCAGCGTCTCCCCGTCGTCAACCAGCCCTGCCGAGGGAGGGAGGTTTATAACGTAATAATGCTGTTACAGTTCATACAGACATGAGATTCATAGTTTCCAAAAGTCAGATAAATTCTAACAACAATTAATCTCAGGGTAAGGGTAGACTGTAACAGTATTATGTTGGTTGCACTAGTATCCACTTGTGCCTTATACAAACAGAATTCTTTTCAATTTTAAGGACTGTTGTGCTAAAAGACTGAACTTTACTTTGAAAAGAATTCTGTTTGTAACATTGCACTAGTAGAGTCAGCACAAGTAGAGTAGATACATTTAGTTCCGATACAAAACGTAAACAAAATAGTTGGACATTACAGGAAAAAAACACGCCGCAGCGATCGTACGCCCGAAATGAAAGACAGAATGAGTGAACAATATAACACAAGCGAACTAGTTAACGAGTGTATGAGCTAACGAATTAATAAGTAAATGAGTTAATGAACAAATAAGCAAATGAGTTAACGAGTAAATGAGTTAACGAGTGAATGATCAAACAATTTAACGAGCGAACAAGTTAATGAATTAACGAGTAAACGAGTTAACAAATGAATGAATGAATAAGCTAACGAACAAACGAGTTGAGTTAACGAAGGAACGAGTCAATGAGGTAACGAGTGTATGAGTTAACAAATGAACGAGTTAACGAGCAAATTAGTTAATTAATTAATGACCAGATTAGTTAACGAGCGAACAAGTTAATGAATTAACGAGCATCGTCGCCTACCTGATGGGAACTCCACGGTGAATCGATCGAGTGGCGGCCGGTACTGACGCACGAGGACGAGGATATCAAGATGCAGTGTCTTACGCAGCGTAGCGATGACAGCGACGCCTGCAAGCAACGACGGTCGCCACGGCGACGTCAGACGCCGGTATGCAGAGGTTTCGCTCGAATGTGCCGTTATTTGCGTCGGCGTGACGACGGCGGGGTACCGGCTGTGTCGTCGGTGATGTAACCAATCGCGGAGTAGGGTACGTACCTACTCCGCATTGGGTTATATACGAGGACCGTAGCTAACCCATTTTGTCAGGGGGTGGAGGGGAAAAGCCACATGCGTGGTTTGTTCTGGGAAGGTGACCGCCATTGACCATGTAATGGATCTACTTTTTTCTGGGGAGGCAACTGCCCCCTTTGCCTCCCCCTCCCCCGCTAGCTACAGCCCTGGCCCTAGTTAATTACTTACATTGTTGTATCTGGGTAGTGGCATATAGTGCACTGTCCACTTTCTACTACAGTAAAGTGTGGTTCATGCAAACAGTGAGGCAATAGCCAGGTCATGTTGGATCAAGGATAGTTTGGGATCCCTGCAATATGTTTTTGCATATGTGATATACTAACAGGGTTCTCCAAGAGCACTTATAGCCTGGCGGCCCGCCAGGCTATCGTCGAGCCCCGCCACCCTAAAATGCACCCGCCACTCTAAATATCATAGCCGCCATGCTAAATATCATAGCCCCCGGAAGTTCGGAACCCCCTAGCACGCAAACCGCCTTCGGCGATTTGCAACCAGGACCGTAAAAGCAGCACCCGCCATGCTATAATGAAAAAGCTTGGAGAACCCTGACTAATCTCGGGTGCTAAACTTGATTTGCAACTTGGGCCATCATGTCATTATTTGGAGACAAGTAAGAGTATTCTATAGAGCATGAATGGGACTTTCATCGTACGCGCATTGCTATTACGAAATACCAATGGTGGACTGCTGCCGATTTTACAAGTTTAAAAGTTGAGAATGTTTGGATAATTGCATAGCTTGTATAATAATTCTTTGACAGTTTGGCTGACTATACCTACCGTCGCCTGGCATCGTGCGTTTTCTCGTCTTCCTCGCCACCATTTCCCACGATCTGCAAAATGCATGAGCATCCTGTATATCGCACTCGATGTGAAGGTGACACTGTGAACGTGTAAACAGATCAATAAAGAGGTTATATTTGGACGGAGGGTATATGACTATAAGCAGCAGGGTGCGAAATTAACGGGAGTCGATCCGGAGTCAAATACTCCCTGATTTACTGCCGGACTCCGTGATTTGACATATGCAGGAGTCCGTGCATGTGACGTGACTCCCTGAAAATTCTGCCATACTAACTATAGTATCATTCCAGAGCACGGCCTCGCGGAATTACCGTATTTTTCCAGCAAACATCCAAAGAAAATTTGACAGACGTGCAACCGCATGAATCTTCAAAATAAGCACATGCGTTATTGCTAATATCTTTAATTTTGAACTTCAGACTGGGGAGTGGGGACTCCCTCATTTTGCTGCGGACTCCCTCTTTTTGAGGGCAGGGAGTCCGTTGGACGTTCTTCAAAAGTTAATTTCTACCCCTGAAGCAGGGTTTCTTCGGAGGGAAAATTATACAAAGGAAGTAATGGCCAGTTTGGGAAAAAATATCGCATCACGTACATGACTAAAAGACCCAGCGTCACATGACTCAATAAACGCACATGGCAGTTTAAATTAATATGCCAGAAGCATGTGGTGATCTATTTATTTTTGAGTTGACACTATTTTGACAACGGCGGGTAAATACAGGAACATTTTCACAACGGCGATGTTAAATTTGACAACGGCAGTGCGCCACTGTGCCGCACTTAAACTATGTATAAGAAACCCTGCTAAGATTCCGCGCCTAACACGCAGATCCCGATACCTCTCCTTGTTTTCTTCATCTTTGTATGTGATCTCTGATAACTCCAACCACTTCCTTGACCCGATCACCTGGAAAATATTGAAATTAGCCTATGAATTATTTATTATGGCAATGCCACAAGTTTTTATTCACTCCTCAAATGTTTTCAGTCTAGAGGCTATAAATGTTACTAATACTCTGTTATCCAAGTAATTAAAAAAATCACGGTTAGCTGCAGGTGATATTAGGTAATTTTAGCATGTCTGTTAATGCGTCATTAGATCACCGATATTGTTAGTAATGTATACTTGAACACGTGTCCATGTGGATGCCGTGCATGATGTTGTACATACATGATGATGCATCATATTATACAGTGCCTATCCACAGTCCACAAGTACACAGCTTACAAGCATAATGAATCCACAGATAAAATGACAATACTTACTAACTTAGTACTTATTATCAATACTTACATCTTTGCTGATCACTCTTGTAGAAGGAGGAACTTCGGATGCCATGATTTTTATGATTTTAACAAATTACAAGTGTTTTTCCGCGCTTACGGAAACCGCCACCAAAAGCAAAACAACTTCTAATGGCGCCGGTCACCGGTCGTGCACGTTGCGGACGATGTAGAACCAGTGACCGGTCTGATCTCGTGTAAGCGCTTCGGGTTCACTCCCTGATTCCGTCAGTTTGAGAGACCAACAACAACAAACGGGAAAACATAAAGTTGAATTATATATACAGGTTTCACATTGCAATCGTATGCGTCGTAAGGTAGCTTTTAATATCCTTATTAATTTAACCAATCCTTTGATGCAGTTGAATGAATGCAAATGCTGAAAATAAGGTGTAATAAGGGTGAAATTTCACACATGATGTAGTGCAAACTGGAACACGAACTATTTCCAGCGTACACTGCGGACAGCGCCAGAGACTGTTGCGGTTAGATAAAGCCTTCACCCTTTCTTACTATTTCTCAGAAGAGGATGCTATTTAGTGGTTTGTATTTCTGTCCTAGCACAGTTGTCGGCTAAATGATGTTTTTGTTACCAGTGGCCGTTACAGCAGGTCGTGTATATATAGCAAATACGGTACCTACTGTACAGTACAGTACATATTCAAATTCCAGTTCCCCTTCTTCAATTCTTCATTTCTTGTTCAATATACAATAAATGAAGATATTATAAGTTATAACTTCTGTTACTTATACATCCACGAGTTACATCATGAACATCGGATGCCAGTGACAATGCGAGTGTGAGTGCATAGCATACATACACGTGTGCGTGTCCGCACGCACATTTACGCGAACTTTCGTCTCCGCCATCAGGCAATGGCATGCGATAAAAGCGAAGCCGTGCATCTCGTCGCTCCCGGCAACGACGTCGCCCCCGGCAACAACGTCGAGTCGCGGAACTGCGCGGCGACGGACGGGGAGACGACTCCGGGGAAGATCGTGATCGAGCGCGAGATCAACGACGACCCGGCTCCGCGATGCATCAGCAAGTACGTGAACAGCGATGGTACGGTGGTATACCGCGTCGACACAGCCTCGCAGACGGACAGTCCAGGCGACGACTGGTGGGCGGAGGACTTCGATTCCGATTCGGAATCCGGACGTCCGGAGAGCGGGCGTTCCGACTCGGAAGGAGGCGGCGATGCGAACGAGGGAGGCGAGCGAGGAGGAGCGACGGGAGGAGGGGAGGAGGAGAGGGTGACGGACGAGGAGGAGGGTGCGAGAGAGGAGCCGTCCGACAAACTGAAATATGCGGGCGTCGCGAGAGGTGAGTGCAGAGTGGAGAGGAAAGTGTGCGATCGAGCGCGAAATTAACGCGGCGATGTGTTTGAATTCTATAGGCAGGACTGTAACGTAGTTATTCCAGCGTTTTTTCCAATCAATTAATCCAGTGGCAGATCTAGAGGTGGGTTGGGGAGGTTGCACCCCCCCTATTCAGTCACTGACTAATATTATGGTACTAGTAAAATGAGGCCAAAAATAAAAAAGTCAGTCTGCAGGCTGATAGAAACTGGGGATTTCCCCTGTGACTACACAGCTGCCTGAATTTTCCAGGTGGGAGGGGGGGCATGTGCCCAGACCACCCTAACACCATGTGCCTTTGGCACGCCTTCACTCAAATATCAACCCCCCCTCTCCTTAAAGCTAGATCTGCTCCTGTAATCAGAATCAAAATCCAATCGATTAATCAAAGGAATTGATCTTGTGCGTAGAGCCCATGTTGATGGACCCGAATCTACCTGCTGGCTGGAGCAGGAAAGTATCGCAGAGGACCGAGGGAAAGTCGGCCGGAAAATACTACGTCCGTATATACAGGTGGGAGTTATAATCACGTATTCTCGTTAACTAGACGTGCTTACAGTTAATACTGGACCCAACAGAGCATGCAACGATTCCGGAAAGTTTTGTAGTCGGGGAATCGGATACAATGGTATTAGTATGATAGGGAATGAATGAAAATACAGCCAAAAAAATTGAATAAAAGTTTTTTTTTAAAGCCGTGTAATGTTTCATCCACTCGCGCGATACAACGTATGTGTCATGTATGGATATTATTATCAGTAGTGTTTACGTCATCATCGACGCGAATTAAACGCGGTGTGCAGCGCTAACTTCGCACGCCGTCACCGATTCTGTCTTTCAGCCCCGAGGGAAGGGTGTTCCGCTACAAGTACCAGCTGAAGTCCTACCTGAAGAAGGTTCACTCTGACCTCATCGCCGACGATTTCGACTTCTCCATCGCCGGACGACCCCTCAAGTCTCGCGGCGGCGGTGGCGGCGGCGACGACGACGACGACGACGACTCGCGCGTCAGGGATCAGTCGACTAGAGAGAACCCGGCGAGGGTGAAGGCCGCGGGGAAGACGGAGAGCAAGTACACGAGGCTACAGAGGGACGTCGTCGTTACCGCGGCGACCGCGATGAAATGCGCCGGATCCCCAGGTGATTCGCTGGCGTCTCTCGCTCGTGCGATGAATTTTTTAGTCGAAAAAGGGCAGTTTGAAATATTGGGCTCGTAACCACATGACAGTATTGATGACCAAGAGCGTAGCTAATGTACTTTGCCTTGGGTGGAGGGAGAGCCACGTGTGCGGTGTGTTCTGAGAACGTGACTGCCATTACACCATCTTTGACTACGTCATGTATCTACATTTCTCTAGTGGGGAAACTGCCCCCCTCGTCCATCCCTCCCCATCGTTAGCTACGGTTCTGATGACTATACCTGGGCGGGCTGTTTGTTGTGGAGAAATAGTGCAGCTTTCTAGGTGGTTTCAGTACTTAGTCTGGTATCGTGACGGCGGTTTTTCTTGTTTTAAGTTGTCAAGTTTTAAGTTGAAGTTTTACTTCAGAGCCCATGTTCAGTGACGCAAATCTGCCGGAGGGTTGGACGAGGAAGCTGACGCAGAGGAAGAACGGAAAGTCCGCGGGAAAATACGACGTCATCATACACAGGTTAGGCCCGCTGTAGTCGTGCGTGCGTGGCGCGTCATTCGTTAGCCCACCTAACGAAGTTGCTAATTAACGAATTAACTAACGATCGACGACGTACGTTTAAACCGGATGTCGTTTCGCGTCGAATTGCAGTCCGGAGTTAGTCAACGAATTAACTAACGATTAACGACGTACGTTTTAACCAGTTGTCGTTTCGTGTCGGTTTGCAGTCCGAAGTTAATTAAAGGCATACTAGGCCCGTGGATTATGCAATGTTGACGAATGCTAGAGTAACTGGCACCTTGTGTAGTTAATAAGTACATAACCTTATAGCCTAACGCGTATTAGTTTGTCCAATATCACTGCTGGTTACATTACAAGCAAGACTTGAAATCGGTTGTTGATATTCATTTAAGTGCCGTAAATGTCATCCAGGAGTCGAGCGATGAGTCGCCGATGACGTAAACATTTGTGCGGCCCGTATATGTTTTGGACGCCAGATGAAGTGGAGGTGTCAGCGGTATAACCACGGCCACGGACTAAACATGGAAATGGAGTAAAACACATACTAATCACGGATGCACATGGACAGCCCTGACAAAAAGCTCCTTATCACGAGCGCCCATGTTTACGAAATCAGTGATGATAGCATTGCATACGGCCGAGCATGCGTGCGAAAATGTCCGGTGCACTATAAATCTGTATATCACACCCGCTTCGCCGGCAGCGGTTTGAAACTGTAAACAACCGATTTCTTGGACTGCGGATTTCAATTAGACATTTCTTAGTAACCAGCAGTGATATTGGACAAACTAATACGCATTTGGATGTAAGGTTATGTACTTATTAACTACACAAGGTGCCAGTTACTCTAGCATTCGTCAACATTGCATAATCAATGGACATATTATTCCTTTAACGAATTAACTAACGATTAACGACGTACGTTTTAATCGGATGTCCTTTTGTTTCGCGACGTTCGCAGTCCGGAGGGCAAGAGGTTTCGCTCGCGATTCGAACTGCAGGCGTACTTCGACGAGATCAAATCCGATCTGGTGGCAAACAGCTTTGACTTCACCGTTACGGGACGCGGCAACCCCGCCACTCCCCAGGTGGCGCCGGGGAAGAAGGCGAGCTCGTCGGAGGAAGGATCCGACGCGGCGGCGGCGGCGGCGGCGGCGACTCCACAATCCGGAAAGTTACTCGTGAAAATGAAATTCTCCGTTCCGGAGGGACGGAAGCGGAATGCGTCCGACGAGGAGGGGAGCGCGAGTAAGAAAGCGAAGAGTAAAAACAACGGGCGGGCGTCGGCGGACGACGATTAGCCCAGCGTTCTCAAAAATGTTCTCCGCCCGCGTTCTCAAAATGTCCGCTAGTGTTTTTGAAATGTCCGCCTGTATTTTCACAATGACTACCTGTGTTTCCAAAATGTCCACCTGTTTGTTCAAAATGTCCACCTGTTTGTTCAAAATGTCCGCATGTTTTCAAAATGTCCGCCTGTGTTTTCAAAATGTCCGCCAGCATTATCAAATGCTTGCCTGTTTTCAAAATGACCGCCTGCATTCTAAAACTGTCTGCCTGCATTCGCAAAATGTATGACGGTATTATTATGTGTGCCTGCATTCTCAAAATGTCTGCCCACGGTCTTAAAATGTATGTCGGTATTGTCAAAATGTTCACGCACAAAGTTGAATGTGTCGTGCCATCTGTTGTGTGGGTGCGTGCTTGGTTGTACGTGCGTGCGTGTGTGTGTGTGTTCGTTATAAACACTATATATCCGGAGATTCCCAGTTCTCTCTCTCTCGCGCGCTGTCATAGCTAATATCATTTAAATACGTGTGTGTGTGTGTGTGTCGGAGTATGTAATAGTAGGGTACTGTGTCTAGTACTGTCTACTCCCGCGAGTTACAAGGTAGTGTGTTAGCTTCCTCCTGCACGATCGGCATATGTTACACGACAGTATTAGCTTGGGTTGTGAGTCTGGGGACAGGCGATTTGTACGATATACTTTCACGGTGGATGTTTCCACAAACATGGGCCATACGTGTATGAAGATGTGTACTGTTTTCCTGCCAAACCATGATTAACACTGAGAAAATGCTACTTACCAATAGTTATCCTATACTCAACTTTTATATAAACGGGCAGCGTACTATTGAGCCAAGTAATGATCAGTGACAGTAAGATCACCTTGTCATTAATTAAAACGTCTTTACACCCGTGTGTGCTGAAATAAGTTACAGTATATGTACTCGAATGCGTATAAGTGTTTAGTTCTTTCCCAATAAACATGGTTACTTTCCCATTTTGTATCAGTTATCATTGACATTGTAAGACTAAATAGTAGAAACCCTTGAAAGTTATTCGATTTCTGCCAGTCTTTTTTTTTATTAGTATAATTTGGATGCAAGATGATTACGAGATTTCTCATTTCTTTTCAAGAATTGTATCATGGATTAAAAATCCATTTATACTTTAATTGCATGATTGGGTAGTGGTTTATCATTCATTTGATGTATGAAAAGAAAGTATTGTCTGTATTTTAAACACGTTTCAAATATAATACGCTTTATTAAATAGCAAGTTGAGTTGAAAGTATGAAATGTATTGCTTGCAGTCGAAATATTTCACGCGACAAAAAATGAGAAAACTGATATCTCGTAAACCAAACTGTTATTTTGATATTGCAATGCGATTCCAATCGGTATAATTGGCTGTTAATTAAAAATGTTCCCAAACTTTGTACAGTAACGCCCCCTGAGGACAGCAGCTCACATCAACAGACATTGCACATTCACAAACCTATCATCACAACGCATGTGCTTAAAACTCACAGCCACTAGCATCCGAACAACGTCTGACAAACTCACAACTACATCAATCAAAGGCACTTGATTATATTATCGTATATCAGGAGTGTGTAAAGAAACAAAAGTTAGTTTTTATTTACTCTGTATAATTATATAGATGTAACACTAGGAATGTGTAAAGCACAACACTTCTCATCACGCATGGAAGAGCAGACGACATACTGGCTCTCATCTTGCAGTTATCACTCCGTTAATCGCTATACGTAAAAAAATAATAAATCGGTTTTCACCACAACCACTGTAGTGCCCACGTCTATGTGTCTATTTGACCGTGTTAAAATATACTCAGTAAAATCACGACGATTTTACGTAATTATGATCCCATACAGAATGATTCTAGTTGATTACAGACAATATACATGCTGTATAAAGACTAAAATGATGAGATAAAATATACAAAATGAATCAACATAATTTAATCATTAGTGATTTATATATTTATACATGTATATCTAACCTAATATATAACATAATCAATTAATAGTCAGAGCCTGCTGTCTGTATATATCGCTAAATAAAATAACACTAATATATGTTTTTTAGTTAATTGCCTCGATGAGATATTAGCACCAGCCACTGGGAATTCAAAAAATTGGTCACAAGAGAATCATTAGTAAAAATCTATCATTAGTTTACAAAAAAGAAACCCGCTTTCTCCAAGTGATTTTGTAAAATTGGTCCCACGTCCAGGCAAAAAATCCCCCGTAACTTTTATACGTGCTTTTCATAGACTGCCACCGTGTTTCGCATGAAGGCCTGCAGCCCAAGGTCATGACCTTCGAGCCCTGAAGGAGCATTAGTGAGATTGTGCCCATCTAGCTTGCAAGGAAGGAAGGAACGTACGTAGCTATCACAGTCCAGAGCCAAGACCCTCACGCTTGACCAATGCTCCATACAGTGACGGCACTTCTCTCTTATTGCTGCTGCTGCTGCTGCTGCCCGCTCGCTTCCCCATCCGGCCGGTCACCCGCTTGACCGCCAACCTCCTGCTTCGCTGAGTCCGAATCAACGTCGTCCGGTTGTTCGGCCGGCGCGGAATTCGCATCATCCGACCAGTCGGCCGGCCGGCCGACGGTCAGTTTCGGCGACATGGGCATCTGCGCGTTGCTGCCATAGCAACAGAGCGGGATGACGAAGGCACTGATGTCATCGCTCGACGACGGCGTCTCGTCGACGGTCCGCCAGCCGACCTTGGGCTCGAGGATTCCGCGCGCATACATCACCAACTCTTGAGCGGCGGACGTATATCTGCAACACAAGCATGCACACATATATATATATATATATTATATATACATATATATATATACATATATATGTATGTGCATGCTTGTGTTGCAGATA